GCTTTATAGAAAAATGTCTACAAGACTGACAGTGTGCTCCATCAGACACCTGGTTGTTGTTCCGAGATTACAGATAATTCACTGAGACTAAAGTGACATACGCACTGGATAGAGCCTCCAAAGACAGATTTGGTGATACTCAGAGAATACTTTGCATCCAACAGCTGAAAACGTGAGGACACCCTGGGAAAAGTAACTGATGCCTGTAATCTTAGTACTCAGAAGGCTGAGACAGAATAATTGCTGTAAATTCCAGATGAACTTAGACACTGTAGTGAGTATTAATTCTGCCTGAAATATATGGTGGATTTTCTCTCAAAAGAAGAAAAAAAAATGAAAGTGTCAAGGCTCATGATATATCTTTAATATTAACGACAGGCACAATGAAGAAGTGCTTAAATTCTACTAGAACATGATGTCTTAGAAGAGGTGAGAGAACTTAGAAGAGAGAGACTTGGGGTTATGCATGGTAGGAGGCCTCATAATAATAGCTCCAGTGATAAAATCAATAGGAAAACATACAGGGACAGTCACTGCTGTTGAAAGCATACAACTCATGGCCAAGCATTTGCAAGTGCTACACAGGGGTGTCAGTTACCCCACATGAGAGAGTGAGCCTCTGCAGACCTCAAGGGCACAGGCAACCACAGCGATGGAAACGGCCAGAGTCCTCCCACCTTGCCCTCTGTCTGCTCCTGGATTCAGTACCCTACATTTTGTTTTGAATCCATAGAAGTAAGGCTTAATGAGGGCAATTCACTTCACAAGGGAGGACTCACAAGTTTCTTCCAGAGAAAGTAAGAGTTCAGGTTCATCTGTCAGATCCCCAGGAAGCTCCTGGGAGGTACACAGGTCACAGCCATGGGAGGATGACTTGGGGTCTCCGCACAATGAGGCCTGCAGGGTTATGTTAACTTTTTCTTTATTTTCAGTCTCAGGGTTCATCCTGGTAAAAAAGATAATACAGGTAAACCAAGGAGGATCCTCTATGAGATTCCCAGAGGATACTGACAGAGGTGTAACTGAGTGGTGTTATAAGGTAAGGGGCACTAGCTACAAATGGAAAGAAAATCACTGTGCAGCAGCTGCGTGCCTGATGTCAGGACAGGGAGCAAATGCACAGTTCAATAGCTGGAAAGTGGGCTGGGGGAAAAGGAGCTGAAGGCTGCTGCAGGAAACCACCCTCACTCCTAGCGCAAACACCACAGCAGTGATTCAACCCTACACTGTTGATTTTACACACAGCAGAAAGGTCAATGCTCCTGAATAACTGGAGGGTCCAAGAG